TATATGCTTAAGAAAAAAAAAAAAAAATACACGAAGTTCCTCGATGTAATGCGCGCGTCTTACACGGGATAACATTGTAGGAGTGGTGAGAGCATTGACGTAAAGTTTCGGGCTTGTTATCGTCTAGAATCACACAATTCGATCGCGTTCCGGGCGCTCGTCCCGTTGGAGAAAGACGTCGGCGCGAACTCTTGCAGTAGCGAGATCTTGATGCAACCGGCGGGGCGCGGCGTCGCTTCAATTACGGATGTATATCACTTGTCCCGTGAAGGCGGCCTTAACACGCACAGAAAATTTTGCGAGTGTCACGAATTAGATTCGAAAGGATCGTCGTCAAGTCTGTTAATTTGTACAATTAGCTGACATTTATAAGCGTAGGCTGCATAAAGCACACAAAAACGAGGTAAATAAAATGCATTTGCAGACGTTAATGAATAATTTTCAATCTCTCCTCGTTCGTTCCGACAATTCTCTTAATTTTTACATCGGATATTAAAATGAGAGATTCAAAGATTTAGAGAAGCGTATCCTTTTGTCAATTCCAGTTCTCTTTAAAAAATATCGATACGTATCGGAAAGAAAAAATCGTTTGCAAATTAAGCTTCGGAAATTAGAACCAGTAATCAAGACTCATCCTATATTTAATTTCAAGTGAATTTTACCGTAATAAAATGTATCCTTAAGGTATGAAATTAAAAGTGACTAAAAAAAAAGAATATTCTTCGGATTCGTCTTCCCCCTCCTAAGTCTCTTCGTCAAAGAGACGATCGAAGAAGATTCCCCGTCTTCGGAAAATTTCCTGAGTTTCCGACGTTGCCGCGAAAGGACACTGGGAAGGACGATGGGAAATAACGTACTCGATAACTGCCATAATTGCGACAGATTCCTCATCGAATGCGGCCAGTTCGATATCCCTGGCGAGGCGGTCGAGCTGCTGCTGCGGCAAGGGCGTGGAAGGATGCATGTTGCGCCAGGTGTGCAACGCGATTACCTCCCCGTTAAGTGCGCATGGCATGCTCGACGCCTGTAATTATAGAAACGCCAGCGATATTTAAATTATTTGCAAATACAAGTTTATGCGGGAGCTTTGCGAATACTGGATTAACGGCCCTCCCTCCTAGGATTGAAAACTTACATTTATACCAAGGGCAAGCGTCAAGCGTCGCTCTTAGCTTTTTCTCGAGTTAAGAAGTCGTCTTGGAAATATTTACGTAAAGACAGAACTGAGTACTAAGTGCTTACATTTTATCTTCTCTACATAATAGTCTCTATAATTTTATATCCGTGTTATATCTTTTGTGAGAGTATAAATAAGTTTTCATTCTAGAGTTTACGCACAAAATGCACTTTCCTTTTAATCTTCAGGTTTAATCGATATTCGCGAGAATTATTCCCAAATTGATTTCTCTCTACTCGAAAACAGGGAGAGCTGCCGAGAAATCAATGATATTACAGCGCACGTATCTGGATCAATGGCGTTTTACGCCAGCCGACATTTACCGCGAGAACAAAAGCGCACGTACTTCGCTGTTATTCGTTGGTATTAACGTTTCCGCGACAGTGTTTCTCGCCCGACGAGTAGGCGCGAACTCGGTTATCGAGCTTCTCTCGTAACGTTTGCGAAGGTCGAACGGCGTCGTGTCCGCCTCGAGATAATCGGAAGCGAGTGACGGGACGTCGTTCGAAAATCGATGCGGGCTTGTAATTTTTACCTTACGCCGTCTAACAAGACTTTGAATTGTTCATCCTTCTAGATAGCCTCGTTTTACATGAGGACGTGAGAAAGTCCATCGAATCGAATTTCTTAACAAAGACACTCTTTAGGAAATCTCATCTATTCTGGCGATCTTTCCTTTATTGGCAGATTCTTTCTATTGCTGTTTGCACGGCGTAATCAGAGACAAGTACACGGTAAAATAAAAATTTCAAGAAACGTAAACATGTGTCTCGGAATTGTGCGGAAATTGTAGGCGGTAATGCTATCAAAGTGCAACAGAGCGTTAAAGATGGTCCCGGGACGAGGGCATTTAATGCTTGCAAGGATGCTTGCCAAAAAGTTGGCGATAGCGCTATCGTTACTTTAAAGAGACTTTGCGGTTCTTTTTTTTTATGATAAGTTCTACGACTAGTCTCGCATTAACAATCCAATATTTTTTTTTCGCTATCGTAAGAAATAATATTACGTATAGTCGGTGGCTTCGAAAGATATACATCTTGCAACTTTGATATTAAAATCGTACTTTTTTACAAAATGAAAACATTATTAATTATAGAAGAATGAAAATTATTCTCATTCAATGTCGATCGACCTTGTAACACATCGTACGCGAACATCGGAGGATTAACACGGATAGTTAAGCGCCACGCGTGATTTCTTCCACCCGTCGTTCTCGGTTTTACCGGTCATAAAAGCGGTTATGCGTTCGAGCGGAAAACTTCGGTCCCCGTCGGCGTCGGTTCATTTCAGGGAGCCGTGTCACAATAGTGTAACTATTGTTACAACGCCTCGCGGCGATATCCGATCCGCTGGAGAATAGGTGCTATAACGCGGCGAGAGAGGAGAGGAGAGGAGAGGAGAGGGACGTTCTTGCTCTCGGGATAGTAGCTGCTGGCTGACCCTACACCGCCGTCTCTCACGTGTGACCTGTTCCATAAATAAATATAGAAACGGATAGAGAAATGCGCGGTCTCGTTAACGGCGTGCTTCGGTATAACGAACACTGGCCTTAATTAGTTTGTTAATACGCCCAGACGACTCACACGTTTTATCAGTATACGTGATTCTGGAAAATCGCGCTAACAAAGTTACCTTAAGACGTTGCAAGCCGATCTCGAGAACTTTGTCTCTGATTTAGGACAAGCTGTCAAAAGAATCGGGCAAAATTATTTAACGCAGTTAAAACAAGAACAAGCGATGTCATCTTATATCATTTTGACAACAGAGAGAGAAGCAAATTGACATGTAATATGAATAAATATTGATCGCTGGACTTGAATCTTTAAATTTAATCGCTAAGTCTCGGTACACGATTATACAATGAAAAAGGAAACTATGGCAGTCATTCATGCATTAACGTAAAAGCACTTTTAGCATTTATCGTATCCGAGGCACCACGCGGTATTACAGAAACGGCCATAATGCCGTTTAAAATAATAGTGACAGTGACAGCTACGGGTTGCCACGTGCAGATAACTGCATGGCGCGCGCGTGTCGGCATTCATCGCGGACAATGCGAGGGATCTTTCAAAAGAGATCTACTTCGCGCATCCATATATACGTACGGACGGTGGATGATGAGTATTAAAATCGCTTACGTCACTCTGTCCGCGATGTTCTCCGTTAAGTGGATAGGTAGGCCGCTCGCGATTATTCGCTGCCAGGATGCGTGTCTAATAATACGTAATGCACAATGCTCGCCGTATCGCGCGATCGGACGTTCAAGTTCTTCGGCTCCCACGTGCTGGGAATATTGCGCGCGAAATATCATAGTTCTTGCGTATAGAAATAAATAAATATACAATTACTCGCGAAGACTGATCGAATATATCTTGAACATTCTATGAAATATTTAATATAAGAAGACGAAAGAGTAAACAAAATAAATTTGCGTGTGCTTCTGTGTGTGTCTCTCTCTCTTTTTAATATGTGAAAAAGATATAAAAAGTAACGTGGAAGAGAAAAATTATCATTTTTTTATATTTTCGCGACGTTCTAGCGTATATAAAGCCGATCGCGATTGAGCTTCGTAAAGATATTTATCCCGATAAGGATCTGTAAAAATGCACCGGCTCGCGGAAAATGTAAAAATAATGTTTCAACCACGTGTAATAATGTAAACACTTTTATCGGCTATCGATTTCGGTCGACCTGCGCCGCTTCTTTTATTACGGGCGTATATATCGGGATACGTGATCCGAGATAGATTGCGGCTAACTAAGTCTAAGTCGCGCGGTATTAACAAAAGTCTCTCTCTCTCTCTCTCTCTCTCCTCTTTCGAATCGAAATAAAAATACCAACGTTGTTAATGATAATAATAACGATAAATTATATATACTTAGCATTTTAACACATTTTCTACAAAAATTATAATTGATATTTTTAGAGATAATTTTAACATACTTTTATCCATTTTAATATATTTTCTGTAAAAACTATAATTGATATTTTTAGAGATAATTTATACTTATTGTTTCTGTTGCATAAAATAGAATTTGACGTACGGCTGTTTTATCAGACTTTGCTCTCTGTTAATATGAACTTGTTCTGGGGTAAAAAATCCAATACCATATCTCTAAAAATATTTTCTCATAATTAACTCATACGCGAGACAGCTACTTTATAGACATCTAATTCTCATATAATTATATTAAGGAAATAGTTGTTAGTTTTAGAATT